CCCCCCCCCCCCCCCCCCCCCATAGTAGCAGAGAGAGTGCAGAGGCAGACGGGTTTCTTGGTTGAATCTAGTTGAGTCTAGTCTGCCTGACTCATTGATCTTTTATCTGACTGAGTTTGTACAATTCGCGACGCGTTTGGTGTGAACGCAGCATCAGGCCACGATCACGACTCAATCAACTTTCATGAACTGAAAACACACTGAAAGGGTTCTAAGATAAAAACACGGACAACTCCCAGAACGGAAAACGCCGCGGTAGCAACCTGTCAATCACAAGGTTGCCACACCATCATTTATCATGAATACAATGAATACATCATGCTGTATTGAAGAAGACTTGAAACTAGAGATTGAGACCATAAACTCATGTTTACAATGTTTACTGAGGTAATAAATCAAGAGAGAAGTAGAGTCATTTTCTCATAGACTTCTATACAACCAGAGGAGTCGCCCCCTGGTGGACACTAGAGAGAATGCAGCTTTAACACATGAAGCATTGGCTTCACTTTTCAGAACCGGAGGTTGCCGCTTGGTTAACACAGCAGCCTGATCTCACAGGAGATTCACACTTTGCAAAAATAGACATCATGCTTTTCTTCTGATACAGTATAAACAAAAAGACAAAATGCAACCCGGGTGAAGCTAAACTAAATCTATTTATTAACAGGGACAATGCACATTGATGGAAAAACTGTGGAAAATCACAAGAACTTCAGACAAGATGTTTTATCAAGTTGCTGGTGTACGATTTATTATTCTAATAATGGATGACAATTCAGTAAATGTATGTTTTTTGTTACATTTAATTTTACAAAGTTAGAAAAGCAATGTTTAAGTCAAGCCTAGTGTTGCTTTACACATTAAAGAATGATCCCATTGACCTCCACACAGTGAGGCTTACTTCCTATTGATTTAACATTGGTATTAGATCGGTACCGTATCAGCTGATACCCAATGCCCAGGTATCGTAATCAGAAAAAGTTGGATCGGCGCATCCCAGATTGTACATTTAATATACAATAATTTCCAAAACTGGGAGGCTCTCACCAAAAGATGTTTTCCTTGAGACAACAATGTCCCCTTTAATAATTGATCTGGTTATTCCATTCCTAAGATTCTTCTGAATTATGAATGTGGTAAATGTGCTAATCCATTTTAACCTCATGCTAATGCTGGTATTCTTGAGAAACTAGCAAGAGTATGCTACATTTTTAAAATGATGAAACCAAAAAACCCAGCCCAGAGCTGCCAACTCTTTTACAATGGAAATAGCTATCAGCACTAAAAGTATCTACATGTAGACAGTCCGTCCCTTCAGGCCCTGAGGGTTTCAACAAAAATGTTGTTGAAGATGACCAACAATGCCTTTATTGTTTTAGAATATAATGAAAAAAACATCAGACTATTAAATAGAATAAAGTGCCCTGTTCGAGACTGTGCTCCATAATTGTGTCAAAAATACGCCCGCAGAATGTGTAAGGTCACTGGATTCTTCATCACATGGCAAGAATGAACTGTCCCTGTCCACTGCTGTCCAATGACAGAGCTTGTTACAGGAAGGCGCAGAATGTCCAGGATTCGCCCCATGATCACAACGAACAACATTGTTTCTTTACTTTTTGTACATTGTTATTGTTGTTACATCTCATTGCGTTGTTAGAACGTCACAAAGCAGTAAACCGACCACCCTCCTTATCTCCACCCCGCTGCTTCGGCCTGTGAGCTACGTCGTACCAGTTTAACTTCAGCAACACTTCTACGCTGCCCCTTTGCTGTGGCGGTAACGCCCCATTGTGGGTGCATGTGGTGCCCATTCACTCCTCCTGAGTGGCTTCTGATTGCGTCTTAGGTTTTTAGGCTTTTGTTGGGTCATGGGTGAGCTCGTCTACATTTCACCCAACTGTATTACTGATTTTTAATTGTTTTTGTTTATGGTAATTCAACATACATTCACATCAATGACTTGGTCACTGCATCTTCTATATTACTGTTTGCTGATGATACTGGCTTATTCCTTTCCCGAAAAACATTTCCCCCACACACATTCCCGAGGTTAATTCTGAATTAAAAATAATTTCTAAATTATTTAAAATGAACATGTTTCTTCAATTGTTATTGCATTTAATAAGTCCATGATATTTACTGCCCAAAACAAAAGTGAATGAATATAATTATCATAATGATTTATCAGTGTTGTTTGTGTTTTACTTGAATGAATGTCATCTTTAACATATACTATATGTGATCATCACCTCTGATCAGAGTTGTGTTTTGCTGATCTCTTATCTTACTAAGTATATGTATTGTTAAACTAAGTCTTGAATAGTTTAAATGTTTTTGTGTAACTGAATGAATATTCATTGTTATATCTACTAAGACTGATTTACTTTTGCTTGTGTGCTGTTGAATTTCTAAGACTTTTTAATGTCTCATGCAAGGAAAAGTCCTTTTGGTTTCATAACAACATGTCTGAGTCTTAAATATCCAGGTTTGCTTCCTCTTCTAATACTTCTGTTCAGATCATTTCATTTGCCTCAATCTGTGATTCTTACAGTCGGCTCAGTTGATCTAGTTTTCTCATTCGCGGCTCCCAAAACAACATCCTGGGATTGTGAGGTTACTGTCAGTCATAATCCAACGCCAGCACAAACACAGTAGTGCGATAGTTTCAGAAACACTGTGAAGAGGTGACATTCACTACCGAGATAAGAAGTGCATATAAAGAGTTTCTAGGGCAGAGGTTAATGCTAGCCATCAACATGTTGCCTCCAGAGAGGTAGATGGAGTGAGCTGGTCTACGAAGAGCATTTTGGCCAACAGATAAAAAAATTCACCATCATGACTCAAAACTGCCCTAACAGTGAATAAGCAAAGACATTTAGTAAAATCAGGTTATCATGTTTGTGTACCTTATTTAAATATCAGACACTGAACAAGCCTCTGTGGTCGTTCTTTCCGTCATCAGACATGTTGCCACTCTTAAAATGACCGTGTCTTTCTGTTCAAATCATTCAAAGGCACAACATGCAGCAGGGGAACAGATGAATACTTTCAGCTTAAAGTCTGTTTTCATATTGACCTTTTTCTCCCGTATTTGTTGTGCTGAGTGCTCTCTGGCGCTAGTTACAAAGCTGACTTATTATGAAAAGGGACACATTTGTAAAAGTTTTGGAATACCGGCAAGACTGTTGAAGGTGGGCTTGAAAGTAAACTTTCCAGTCAACACGGTGAAAGTCAACAGTCTGAAACTCAACTGGCCTACCAAAAGGTTTGCTTGAGGTAAATAAGATAAGAAGTCATTGCATCCATTTCAGCACATTCTCTGCTGAACATAATCATTCAGTTAATTTAACAGCGATCTGCACGTTACAATTTGAAGTTCATCATGTACAAATTAAAATTTTTAATTTGAGTTAAAGACTCTTCTGCTGATTATCCGTCTCAGGTACTACTGTCGGGATATGGTGACAGTTTGAGCAAATATGACACAAAGTTATTTCTCTACAGTAAGGCTCATTAAGCCCCTATAGAAATGGACACAAGGGGTGGACAGAATAACAGGAACACCCGAACTCCAATAATATAACACTGCTTGCATTAAACACTCTTAGGACTGTGACAGGCCGGCATTAAGTTCTGAACTGCTGCTTGCATTAACAATGAATTTAACTCAACTGTAAGTTGTTCCTGTTAATTAGTTTGCATTTAGTAGGAGCGATTGTTAAGGTGGTATAACTTTAGCCTGTACAAATACTGCAGCCATTCAAAACATGACTCCTTAACTTCCATTGTTCAGTGAGATGCTGCTTCTGTGTCTCTCGCGTGCTGCACAGACTCCTCACACCATTCCTTTATTTCCAACGCCGCGTGCACTCTCCAGCGCTTTCTTGTCTGCACGGTTCACGCGCGTAACGGGAGCGGGCGGGGATGAGGGAGAGCTCCGATTCTGATGTGGTGTACCCGTGAGAGCCGGTTAATAAGATACCAACCGACTCGTGAAATGGGTAGGGGGACAGGGACGGGCCCCTTATGCTGCATTCACGTGCTGCTCGTAAACCCCCCCACCCTACTTTGAAAACTGAAAACATTTCCGTATCACTTGGCGGAGCCTTTAAATGCTCCTGGATAGGAGTGGGTGATTACAAAATGAGCCCCGGGACAGAGCTACTTTGTGGCGGAGTGATGAGGAGAAGAAAGAACACCGAGGCGGTCCGGTGTTTTCAGCCGGGCGGGTTTGGAAAAAGACGCGCCGGTTCGCATCAGTTCAAAATCCACCTTCGCTCCTCGTGTAACGGCGCACTTGACAGAAAATCAGAGGCGGGCCCTCAACGCAGCGTCACGCAGCTCTCCTGTTGCGCTGAGAGGAGGCAGGCCGGTGTTTTTCCACTGCCGCGGATGTCTCATGTCCCCCCGTTTAGAGAGACAAAGGTCAGAAAGAGAGGTTTATAACCAGGCTAAAATATAAGCTACCAACTCGTCCAGCCCCTCAGTCGCTCTCGCGGACACAGACAAGACGACACGTGCAAGGGACCACGCTCAAAGGACATTAAAAGGACAAAAATAATATACAACATTACATCAACAGAGCAGGTAACTGAAAATAAATCGAATAATTTACATCCTCGTTGCACACCTCAGAAACGGGTCTGGAGAGGATGACTGTGCTCTTCTTAGTCACATTATTCGGATTTTTATCATAATTATGATTTGCATGCGTTTATTTGCGTCTGTGTTGTGTCTGAATGAGATTTCTTTTATTTTCAAACCAAGAGCAGCGTTTAAGAAGAGCTCGTGCATTTATGGGTGGAAATGATCAATTAGCTGCGTTTTCTTGCATTTCTTGGTGTTTTGTATGTCTCTGTACTGGTCGCAGTGTTAACGCAGATGGGGAAGCTGTGATGTCGATGTTGGATACAGACTGCTCTCTCTGTGTGCTGATTTGGTGGATTTAAATTGTTTTAATAGCTTTAAATGTAACCTGAGTTTTTTATTCCATGTCTTCTTCATGTGTTGTGCAGACTATTCATACATTCGTGCGTGGGATGCTTTTAAGGGGTATTTTATTCTTTTATTTGTCTTTGTTTCCCTCCACCCTCTTGTTGAGGATGTCGAGCAGTCCATTTTATGTAGACTTCCAGGTATGAACTGGTTATTTTCTTTTGTCATGCAGTCCGTCTCTTTTTCCAACATCTGTATAGGTTTGAGTGTTATTCCAGCGGAAGGAAATAGTCCTGTTGTATATTCTTATTTTTGCTTTATTTTATTGACTTCATTTCATTTAGTTCCGTTATTAAACCGCACAAGGAAAGAGGGGGAAGTGGCGCTCAGAGCGCTGAGAAGGCGGAGATGATCGTCAGTCGCACGTTGCACAGCATCGCGCGCTGCTTCTCCACGAGCCGCTCTCTCTCGGTCTCTCTCTCTCTCTCAGTTCAATTTAAGGGCGCTTCATGGGTACTGAAAACATTTGCAATGCAAATGTGAGATAGCCGCATGAGAAAAAGCCCTTTAGAAATGAGTAAAGATAACTTAAGGTGGAAACATGTAGACAATGTAGACAAAAAATAGAAATACAGAAATCGGTGGCAACATTTACATAAATGTATTTAAAGGTTTGTGTTCAGTGTGTATGTACAGTACGAGATCAGCACAGTACGAATGGTATATGAATGATAGTCTTCATGGTGGGTTTATTCCATCCCACGCCCCTTTCTCTCTCTCTCTCTCTCTCTCTCTCTCTCTCTCTCTCTCTCTCTCTCTCTCTAGCTGTTGGATCTCTTAGTTAGGGAGCTGCTCTGCTGCCGATCACTCTTGTTTTTTCTCTTCTTCTTCCTGTATTGATAATATTAGTAGTAGTCATTTTTCTATTATTTCCTGGTGTTATAATTGGTGCTTCTGGCTGCCCACCCAGATCTCGGTTCTGCACAAGGTTTCTACCCATGCTTGCTTATAGAACATTCTAGACCTTATATGACTATATGTGTCTGAAGATAACTTCTGTTGATTTGACGCTGTATAAATTTAAAGGAGATGAATTGAATTCTTCTAGCCTTCACATGCTAAAAATGCACAAAACGTTGGGTCCTTTGTGGTGTTATAGTCCTGATGGTGGCGCTACAGGTCATTCATTACAAATAATTCAACCTATCTCCCGCCGTAGTTTTCGCTCGATTGAAACCAAACTTGCTATTCTGCGTCTTCAGACTAACCTCCCACAGAGCATCAACGCGTTTTAACGGTAACAGTGCTGTAAATGGTTACTGCAATTTTTCGCTAATTAAATCTTGAAGGTTTATCAAAATATATCACACAAATGGATGTCATGGTAGATGTAGTGTGATACATTTCAGAACGTTTTGAACTGTACTTTGAATTCTATCCTCATGTTGGCTATTACTTTAAACACCAGTTTTTCTCTTGTGAATCTTCATAGAAACAAGTTACAGACAGTTGATGAAGTACAAATATTCTCAGACTTTTGTCTTGATAACAGAATTTTTTTATACTAGTTTGAAATCTTCCTTTACATGCAACCCTGGCGATTGCCTAAGTCATAGTGTGAAGCCCTCTATAGTTACTTCCTTAACAGGTAGTTCAACGAGAGCATGACTTGCTCTCCATGTGAAAGGTTGTGATTTCAAGACCGGGATGATGCAGAATAAACATGCTAATCCAAACGGAGACACGGTTTTAATAAACCTGTGCATACCTTCACTCTGGTGCTGTCCCATACAACGCCATTTGTATGAAATGAAGCAGAAACAATGTTGTTGCCTTTGAAGAAACCCCTGGGGGACAGTTGTAACTTCGCTGGTCAAACAATAGAATAGAAAACGGATAACACGCCCTGTGCTGCCCCACTTTAACCTGCAGAAGGAAGATCACGGAATTCTCGAACCTCCTATACAGTTTAAATTTGTTTTCTGGTTGCTGTATTGGATCTTCGTCCTTGGGTCGGTTAGTGAGGTCTCTTGCATATGTCTTTTAATGGCTGAAACAGAAGGTTTAATCAGGGGGGCAACGTTTCTTCAGTAGGGTTGGGTTGTGATTGAAGTTTTGGATTACTTTTAACATTGCAAGGTACCCAGAGTTGTTGACGCCCAGAGTCCAACAAGAGTCCAACAACTCTGGGTAACTTCCAACGATTCTGCCCAGATTTTTGTTTCCCAGAATACAGAGTCTTTTGGGACTCTGCCCAGATTCTTGTTTTAATCTGGGCGTTAAGAGCTCAGTGTACCTTCCAACGTTGAAATTGATCCAAAACTTCTATCCCAACCCTACTGAACAAACGTTGCACTCCTGATGGACAAGGTATTGACAGATAGTTATGTACATGGCAAAATTGTGCCTCTGTGCCCGCGACTGCCGTGGCCGGACGCATTATGTCTTCGGGTTGTCCGTCTGTCCGTTCCTTTCTCGCAAACTCAATATCCCAGGACAGAAACTTCCACTCGCACTCAAAGTTGAACTGATTAGAATTTGGGGCACAAAGCTCACTGTGACCTGTTCACCGTGGCCATGACTCAAGAATGTATTAATTATGACAATAATAAGAGAAAATGATGATGGGAGGACATTTCGTACAGACAACATGATTGGTTGGCAGAGGCATACAACTGGCAACTATAGTTATTTACGGCTGTCATTTGCTGCTATTTTATGCAAGGATTTATCATTTTCTGCCATGGATTATACTGTTGGCAGGATGGAAGGTAATAAATAATAATAATAATAAAACTCTCCCCTGAAAGCCAGTGTAAAGATGTTCTTGTTGGTTAGCAGCTCTTAAAAAACGGTGACCAACCACACTTAGTCAAAGAGGGAAATAAGAAAGGTGGCAGAAAAAATCAGAAGTGAAACGTCCAATTTGGAGACTTCTTTGTAGATGTACTTGGGGTGGAACCTTCTAGCTGAATCACACAGACTGGCTGATAAACTGGTGTACAAGTCCAACCTTTCAGCTCCTGACCCTGAGATTAATCTAACTAATCTTGGCTGCTGTAGCATCCTCTTCTGAATCAGCCACTGTGAGCTCAGGATGGCATCAGATCTCCTGCGTCCAGAGACACACCTCTGACTATAATGCTCTCTTTGTGTCCTGTGGCTGCTTCTGTAGGTGGCACACTTTCTCTTGCTGCTGATCATGGAAAATACAAAAAAAAAACATCACTTGATTACACAAAATGCATCGAAATGTGTGCCACGGGGCATTTCCAACTATCCAGTTGTATGTTTGGATATTTATTTAAGTGAAAAATGAAAGCTGCTGTATTAACTGCCGGCATGTTTGCTGTTAAATCATTCATTAAGAGCGTGTTTGTGAAATATCAGTCATAAGCACGTCAGCGTTCCCAAAGTTTTTACAAATGGAAACCGTGAGAGCCAACAGTGACGGGGTGAATAAAACCATCAGCCTCAGTTACACATCAAGAGTTGCCGTCAGACTTCCAGTATATGACCGTGTGTCGGTGATATCAGCTCTTTCTGAACCTCCACCGCTACTGTACATATTAACCAGCATGAACCACTGACCCACACACACCCAAACAACTGCCCCTGGTTAACAATTTGACTAGTAGATATCCCCATAAAACATCCCCGGCTGATTACTGACATTAAGACAAGCGTTTCTTTTGTACTGCAAAATGGATGGTTAAATATGCAATTGAGGAATTATCTTTTTAAACATGTGCTGAATGTTGCAGACATTTCCAGAACACACATCTGAACATTGGATAAAGCCAAGTTAAAAACTCTTGTTTCATTTTGTTGACATATTAGAGTCAAAGGGTGTTACTCAGGGGATTTTGGATATCTCTTCGTATCACTAGGTAAATCAGAAAACACTGTCAACATCCATAAAAAAACAAGTTTTGCCATGTTTTTTATAAATACAATGCTGTATAAATCTGACTATAAATGCTATGCGAACAAATCCCTCTCTGTTAACCTTCAGAATATAGAGAGGAATGAAATTGTAAAGTTTGGTGTATGTAAGAGCTGCTGAAATGGAGATTTCTGGATCAGAGTCTGAGAAGAAAAATCGCAAAATTGACCAGAGCATGAAAAATGATGTCCTTGGAGGTCTCCCTCCAATCTTGAATGGTTTTATATAATTGTGTTGAAGTTTGAACAGCTGGTAATCTCGGCCAGCAGCTCTGAAAGATTTCTTCTACCTTGGCAGCTGAAGGTGAAAGCAGTTAAAATGTGGATTTATAGCCGGCTTTCAGGAGGTTCAAGCTTGTTATTAAAGGAAGGAATGCCAAGTGCCCATCTTCACATGTTTATGATGGAGGTCAAGTATTCTGATGGAACAACAGACCAGCGACCCGCTTACCGACCGATAGTTGACATAACGGATGAACTCTGCATCAAAAGTGGATCATCTGAACAACCAGAGATTTGAAGCAGCAAGCAACAGCAACCTTTGAACATCTGCACTTCACGACAACTGAGAAAACTCAATCTGCTGATGAAGAGTGTGTGATGTGGTCATAAAGCTCCACGACAGGAGAGTGGGTGAACCTTGGGCTATCGTTTGGTCGGCTGCCGATTCCAACGTCCGAAAAATGAATTGTCTAGCTTAACTTTTA